GGCTTGCCGACTCCAGGCCCCGGGGTATGACAGTGAAAATTCAGACCTCCTGTTTGATTCTGCGCCTCCCTGGCTGGTAAATCAACTGATTAGAACCAGCAGTTGTGAGGGGCGGGGAGGAGGGAACCAACAGAGCAGAAAGCAGCCCACGGGAGGCGTCGGGCTGGGGGCTCGGCCCTGTGTGGCCGGGACGAGGGGCCAGGATGGGTGACCCCTCTGGTCGTCGCCGGGAGGAAAGAAGGGCTGCGTCAGCTCCGCCCAGGGAACGGCTCCCACGTGAACTTGGACCTGCAGCTCAGGAATAAAATCCCAAGAACCCAGAACCCTGCTCCAGCTGGGGCCCCTCCAGCTGAGTGCTGCGCTGCTGCAGCTACATTGTTGAGGACCTGGCTGAAGCTCCCGGCACCTGCCCCTGCAGATGAAGGGGCCTCGTGTCTGTCTGCCTCTGGTTTGTGGTTTTCATGTGGGCATCGGTGCCTGTGGCTGAGAACGGAGCAGGGCCGCAGGGCCCAGTGCAGGCCGAGAGGCCACCGGTGGGACCAGCACGGCCTCTGCACCTCGACAGCCAGAGCAGCAGGTGTGGGTGCTGTTTCTGGTCAGGCAACGCTCTCCCTTCTGTTTTCAAGGAAGACTCTGTCTGGGCAGAAACAGGCTGAGGCCTGATGGCTCGGAGGCGTCACAGCCTCTGGCCCGGGTAAGGCCTGTTTCCGACGGCCCACAGCCTGGCTCCCGGGCAGACCGAGGCAAGGCCCTGCGCCCACCCAGCGCCTTCGCAGCACCCTGGGGCCTTGGAGGCGGGCGCGATGGCGACCTGTCAAAATAACAGCGCGTGAGCTCGCTGGGTGCAGGCGGCCGGAGGCTCGGGCGGGGTCTCTGCCAAACCACAGCCGCCACTACCCACCATCACCTCCCAGAACAAAGCCAGGGCTCTGATTTCCATTTCCACTTGTTTGTAGACATTCAACAAAAAGCACTTATTTTTCCTGGCGCTTTTGTTAAAACTACAAGGTAACTGGGAGCCGCTATAAATATTAATGCTCAATAACAAAACAGCACAAGACAAACAATGACCCGCATGACCCCAGGAGACCTAGCTCAGCTCCAGAAGCGGGCAAACCAGACCGACTGTAACAGGGAGCCAGTGGAGAGCGGTGGGAGGAGCAGGGCTAAACGCATCAGCACCGCTCACCGGTGCGCAGAGCGAGCCTCTCCGGGGGGAAGGCTGAAGTGTTTGATTTGGAGTTATTAAAAAAGCCACATTCCAAAATGCCGCGTCTACAGTAATCGGCTTACACAAAGCTATTACATGAGGACACACTCAACATCACTAAGATGACAACAGTGAAGCAGAGGGCTCCAGCACCCCGGCCGGCCTTTTCAGGGCTGCGACTTTTCACGAGCGCTGTGGTTGTCATCCGTCCTTCTCCTCGCCCGCGTTTAAAAGGCCCGTCCATTCCAGGACGCAGCAGGTGAGCCCCCAGGCTGGGGCAACCCCCGATGCCCCTCTGCATTGACTACAGGCAGGGCTTTGTCTGCGGCTGTCCCAAAAGTGGGGTACACCTTCCTGGCCAGAGTGATGAGTCATAGAGAAGAGAGAGGTACTTTCTGGGGACCTGAGAACGCCCCCCTGTGAATACAGGCCAGGGTGGTCAGGGGTGCAGGTTAGCCCACTGGCAGGGCAGGGTGCTCGGGGCTCAAGAACCCAATCAGGAGGCGTGTGCGCTTTCATTCTGCTATCGGACGCATTTACGCAATGTCAGCGTTCTGAGATCGGGACCTCCGCTACACAAGATCCCACAGTGGTTCAGGTATCAGGCTGAGGCAAATGAAGATATTACTCAACCACTGTCAATGTTTTAAAAGCCCATTCATCCCTGCACTATCAATTTCCACATTCGGATCTTGAGAGGAAGTAGTTTTCCAACCCACGGTGTCTATGAAATGTACTGAGCGTTGCTCTCAAGGTTGGGCTATCCAGATAAGAGTCGTCCTCCCCCCGCCCCCCGCCCCCAGCAGCAGGTGAGCCTCAGGCACCTTTCTGTGAAGAACTCGGGCACGGGGCACAGCCAGTGCGCATACTCCATGGGACCACAGGGGTCCGATGGATTTATTTTCATCACCCCTGAAAACACCTTCAAAGCCAGCACCCCAAAACTGGAACGGAGACCCACCAAAGCCAGACCCACCAAGACTTCGCACCGCAATGTCTCTGAGAGACCTGGGCCAATCCCAGCATGCACAGGGTCTAACTGAAGGAACACAGGTGAGGGCCAGGAAGAAAGGTAGGTTGGCCTTGGAAGGCACAGCGGGAGATTTTTTGGCTGTGAGGGACCATCATGACTCACTAGTAAATACTCCCGTGCCTCCCCCAAAATGCGCCCTGGCTTTCTAGTCTCTCGTCTCCTCCAGTGCTGAGGTTCTTGGAGGGCTCAGGTTAGTATGCTCTGATAAGTGGTCCTCAGGCGATGTCATGCTCCGCTGTGGCCTCTGGTGGGGCAAGACCGCTCAGGCCACCCCCAGGAAAGGTGTCCTGGCTTCTACATTCAACCTGAACAGGTGGGAGCTCTGAGACCGCCCCAGTCCAACTACCCAATCCACCAGCTCGGCTCCAGATGGCTCCGAGAGGCGACTGCGGTGACCAAGCGGGCGCCTCGGCACCCCAGCTGCCTCCTCCATGGAGTGCGGAGTGGAGGGGGGCGTGGGGACCGTGAGACACTGCTGGTTGGTTCAGCCTGAGGTTCAGCTCAGCTCCCCCTGGCGCTCCCCGCTCCGAGGAACACGGAGGCCACGGCGGGGAACCTGACCTTCCCTTAAAATGGAGACTCCATCCTACTTACACTTTGGGGAG